GTCAAAATTGCGGACACCACAATTTTCCTAATCAAGTGTCCACTATATCAATCACTACACTTTTACTACACAAACATGTCAAAATTGCGGACACCACAATTTTCCTAATCAAGTGTCCACTATATCAATCACTACACTTTTGCTACACAAACATGTCAAAATTGCGTCCCTATAAAAATGTCCACTATATCAAAACACTACACTTTGCTACACAAACATGTCAAAATTGCGGACCTATGCAGATGTCCACTATATCAAATCACTACACTTTGCTATACAAACATGTCAAAATTGCGGACACCTTATGAAAGTCCACTATATCGAATCACTACACTTTTGCTGTGCAAACATGTCAAAATTGCGGACACAACAATTTTCCTAATCAAGTGTCCACTATATCAAACACTACACTTTTGCTATGCAAACATGTCAAAATTGCGGACCTATGCAGATGTCCACTATATCAAACACTACACTTTTTCTATGCAAACATGTCAAAATTGCGGACACAACAATTTTCCTAATCAAGTGTCCACTATATCAAACACTACACTTTTTCTATGCAAACTTGTCAAAATTGCGGACACAACAATTTTCCTAATCAAGTGTCCACTATATCAATCACTACACTTTTGCTATGCAAACATGTCAAAATTGCGGACCTATGCAAATGTCCACTATATCAAAACACTACACTTTGCTACACAAACATGTCAAAATTGCGGACACTACAAATTTCCTAATCAATTGTCCACTATATCAAAACACTACACTTTTGCTATACAAACATGTCAAAATTGCGGACCTATACAAATGTCCACTATATCAATCACTACACTTTTGCTACACAAACAAGCCAAAATTGCGTCCACCATAGAGAACACTATGCTTTTGCTGCACAAACAAATGTCCACCAATTCAACACAACACTTTTCTTATCAAAATAAGCCAAAATTGCGCCACACCACACTTTTGCTATGCAACCAAGTGTCCACTATATCAATCACTACACATCTCCTTACTCAAATAAGGCAAAATTGCGCCACACTACACTTTTGCTATGCAAACATCAATCACTACACTTTTCTTAATCAAACAAGTCATATTGAAGTCATTTCATAGACAACAAGAATACAAACTGAAATATTGAGTGCACTACTGCACTACTACACTATTACTACACCACCACCACCACTCTGCATAATCTCTGACCATAGACCTGCCCTAAATCACTACGCTCAGAGTCAAGCAAAATTCCTAATGACCATTAGGGTTTCAACAAGACCTGCCCTAAACCACTACGCTCAGAGTCAAGCAAAATTCCTAATGACCATTAGGGTTTCAACAAGGCCTGCCCTAAACCACTACGTCTGAAGTCAATCAATCAACCCCCGACGAGGGTTGGAGGTTCGCTCGCGCGCGTCGGCTTTCTTACGTTTGATTACCTTTTTTTTCGTCCTCGCTCTTCATCTTCGCCCCATCTTTTTTTCTTTGTTTTTTCTTTTCTCTTCCTTTCTTCATCCCCCTTTCCCCCTTCCCGCCTTTGAAGCGCTTCCCTTCACTCCCCTTCGAGACCCTCCCAAAGGAGGACCCCGAAGAGGAGCGTAGGTTCCTCCCTTGAAAGGGAGGACGCGCCCCTCCGGCGTGCGCCCTTACCGCGAGGCCAAGAGATGGCAGGCCTCGCGGTCTACAGCCGTACCAACAGGCTGGTTTCATAGATGGGGTCCGACGCATAGACCCCACCCGAGCACCCTCTGATCCTACGCAAAGCGTGGCGAAACCCTCAAAATTGCGTCCATCGCTAATGAAAGCATACCGAAAACCCTCAAAATTGCGTCCATCGCTAATGAAAGCATACCGAAAACCCTCAAAATTGCGTTCATTAGCTCAGTTGCTAATAAAAGCTTAGCGAAAACCCCCAAAATTGCGTTCATCAGCTTAGTTGCTAATGAAAGCATAGCGAAAACCCTCAAAATTGCGTTCATTAGCTTAGTTGCTAATGAAAGCATAGCGAAAACCCTCAAAATTGCGTTCATTAGCTTAGTTGCTAATGAAAGCATAGCTAAAACCCTCAAAATTGCGTTCATCAGCTTAGTTGCTAATGAAAGCATAGCGAAAACCCTCAAAATTGCGTTCATTAGCTTAGTTGCTAATGAAAGCATAGCTAAAACCCTCAAAATTGCGTCCATCGCTAATGAAAGCATAGCGAAAACCCTCAAAATTGCGCCCATTAGCTTTGTTGCGCCATCAACCCTTTTGTTTGCTGTGCCCGCCCCATATAGTAGGAAAGCTGTGTTGTTTGTCCGTATTATGCCTGGAGCGCAGAAGGCGTGCGGATCAGTGTCCACTATATCGCGTTTTGGTGTGTTTTTGGACTCTGTGGAATTTTGCCCCTCGAAATCCTTGATTTTTGCGGTCACATTAGGAAAAACCTAATGAAAGAGCCGCAAAGCGTTCCTATAGCGTCCACTATATCAAACACTACACTATTTCTAGCAAA